CTTTGTATATATATATATATATATATATAGTATTTTCCTTCATATACACTTAAAGTCACATATATAAGCAGAATGTACTCCAAACACATGCTGGTAGGCTAAGCTGCCGCTATATGCATGTGAGATAGGGACCTTAGATTGTAAGCTCCTTGAGAGCAAGGACTGATGTGAATACGCAGTATGTAAAGCGCTGCGTAAACTGTTGGCGCTATTTAAATGCCTGCAGTAAATAAATAACTAAATAAATAATTCACTTTAGCCATAGAAATCAAACCTTAATCTGTGGATAGGATTTCTTGTTTTTCTCACTGGAAGCCCCAGGTAGGCCTCCATGGGATGGTCCTTCACACACGTATCGGAAGCGGAACCCTCTCTGCAAAGAAAAATTAATCAATCTGTAAGTACATAAATGGAAGTTTTAAGTTTCCTTGCACATGATTTTTGCAAAACAGTTTTTCACTTCGTTCCACCCCATCCGCTAAGATCAACATGCTCTGCTGCTTTAGTAATTCAGGGTCATAGTGCTTAGTGACTCATCCAGCACTGTTACATGTGGGCATGTAGACAGTCAGCTCTTTCAGACTTTCCTTATGCCATGTGGCTGAACAGGTAAAAAGTTATATTTGTTGGTGTGTGTCAGTAGGTGAATATGCCTACTAAAATCCACAAAGAACTGAAATCTGATATGAGTGGGCTTACCTTTAAAGAAAAGCAGTAATTCGCAATATGGTTTCATGTATTTCTGTAGGATGGTGGAATTTGATATTTTTGAATAACTCTACAAAGCTAAAAGAGTTCACAGAAATCCATATACTGAACCTTTTCCACTGTTTAAATAATATCAAGAATAGTGGATTGTCAAGCTAAACATATAAACCCAGACCCAGCAATATCACCAGCACCAGCAGCTGGTTACATGTCAACATATGTAACAGATCCATAAATGTATGGCTAGGAAAACAATGGAGCAAAAAGGATAAATAAACAGTTTATTACCTGTTTAGGCTGCTCAGTTACGTCAAGGTATGGCCCATCCACTTGTAAAAAAAAAAAGGAAAAATCACAATACATTAATAAAAGGATAAAAAGGTAATGAAACAAGTTGCTGGCAAAGCTTTTAAAGCAAACACTAATTGAAGTATCTCATTCTAAATCCAAAGCAATGACGGTGTTTAATAACTTGTGTAAGATGTTCAGCAGGTTCATCCATGGTCCTACTGATCATAAAAGCTTTTGCAGTATGCCAGACCGATAAGGACTTGTGGATTTAGAAATCAGCTGGTCTATGTATACTTGGGAACATTTATCAAGCAAATTAGTGACATCATTAGTTTCAAATCAGGCTGACGATCCTGTGTGTCTGTGTTCCTTTGCGACAGTTTGCAAGGTTCTAAGTAGTAAAATATATCACCAGCACACTAAAGTAAAATCTTCAACGAGTGGTCATTTTATTAATGTACACACATCTCGTCATAATGCGACGTTTCGGGGCCACTCAGGGTCTCTTCATTAGGCATGACCATGATGTTGACATGAGGGAAATGTGATGTCACTATGACGTCAAGGGAGTGGGGAAGAATGATTGACGTGGCGGGAGTGTAACGTCACTATGATGTCAAAGGGGTGGGGAAGAATGATTTGACATTGCGAGAATGTGAAGTCACTATGACGTCAAGGGGGTGGGGAAGAATGATTGACATGGCGGGAGTGTAACGTCACTATGATGTCAAAGGGGTGGGGAAGAATGATTTGACATGGCGAGAATGTGAAGTCACTATGACGTCAAGGGGGTGGGAAAGAATGATTGACATGGCGGGAATGTGATGTCACTATGACGTTAAGGGGGTGGGGAAGAAAGACTTGATTGGTTTGCACTTATATTTAAACTTGTTATGGATTGTAACACATTGCCATGCCTGATGAAGGGCCCTGAGTGGCTTCAAAACGTCGTCATGCCTGATGAAGGGACCCTGAGTGGCCCTGAAACGTCGCTTTATGAAGAGATGTGTGTACTTCAATAAAATGACCACTCGTTGAAGATTTGACTTTGGTGTTCTCATGATATATTTTATTACTTGGATTTGAAGTGGCACCATCCACTGTCACTGCACCACACACCTTAAAAGAGACATACCAGTAAGGAGTGTGGTGGGGACATCTTTGGAGTTTGCAAGGTTCTGAGACAGGTTTATTAATGAACATGAGATTTTCACTCTAAACAGATGCATAATTAAGAAGCGATCAGGGTCAAGTTTTATTCTGTTAGAGCTGCTGAGGCAATAATTTATGACTCATGCTGTAACCTTGTTTTAAATCTGTCTCACAAATTGTCTCACTGTCCCTGTTTAGGTCTATAATTCTGAATTCCTTAAAATATTAGCTTGGTCACTTTTTAGATAAACTATTTTACTTTGAAATGAATGTGCAGGGAATTTAAAATCATATTAACTAAAAGGCCTAGGTGGTCACTGAGTTCTCCACCCCCTTTAGTAAATAAAACCTACTGGCTACTTGAGAAGAAAAGGGGAAAATGTGCTACACGTATTGGTGCACCCTTTACTTTAATTATCCTTAACTGTATCCTGTTGGAGTGTCAAGTCTACTTTAAATTTAAAGTGATTCTCAAGTAAGGAGCATTGTGAGTTTATTCTTACTGTTTTTCAGTAGTCTAGAAGCCATATTGTGTTCCAGGGAAAAGAAGAGTGGAGATGGAATTGTGTGCTACCCTGTTTCCCTGAAAATAAGACCTACCCCGAAAATAAGACCTAGTACTATTTTTGGGAATTGCTAAAATATAAGACCTACCCCAAAAATAAGACCTAGTTGGGACCATTCCCAGGGCCGGTGGTGTCATAAGGGGGAGCTTGAAGAGCCGCAGAAGAGAATCAGCGGTGCCAACGAAGCCAGCGCTAGAGGAAGCGAGGTGGCACCGGAGGGAGCAGAGCCACATAAGCCGATGCCTCCTCTATAGCGCCGGCTCCTGTCACAGGTGGAGTGATACCAAATGCACTCCACCTGTAAGGGATCGATAGTGAAAGTGCGCTTCGCTCATTCTGGCCAGCGATTGGTTAGCAAATTGCTCTTGGAAATGTACGGCACCCCTGATTGCCCTGATCACCATATTTTTGTACATGAATACATGTAGACTGTTGTACATGAATAAGTGTGGATTGTTGTACATAAAAAAATAAAATAATAAGACCTACCCCGAAAATATGACCTAGTGTGTTTTTTTTTAGCCCAAAAAAATATAAGACAGAGTCTTATTTTCGGGGAAACACGGTATCATAAACTTATATATAATATTATAAATATTGTATAGCATTAAATACAGATTTTTATTAAAACAAACATGAAAGTATAGTAAAGAAATCTTTGTACCTTGCACACAGCTTAGGTTAAATATTTTCCAAATTTGGGTTATAGTATTTATTTAAAACAGATTCAGGCCTCATGCACAAAGCGAAGAGGGCCCTGTCACACCATGTTCAGTGCGCTCTGGCGTGGTTCGAGTCCGGAACGCACTGGATCGCATACATCAAGCCGGACCGTGTTCTGGGACAGGAGGGGGCATGGCGGTGCTATTCAAGTCAATGGCACCGCAGGCCCGCACCCTGCCCATTGTGCGATCGGAAAAAATGCTGCACACTCCATTTTTTACGATCGCACTGCACCAGAAGGGAGAGCATTCCTATACCTCACGTTCCGGCGCCTTTTCAGGCAGCAGGTAGAGTTTTAATGTCCTTGTCACATTTTCTAGGCTCTCCTTTTTGTTCTTTGATGTAAAAACCTGTTGTTTAAACAACCCAATATATCAAGCTAAAATGTACACACCCAAAGGAATGACTCATTACTGTTGGTGGGATATCCATCTACACGGAGTTCAAGACCATACAGAGAAGCCCATCTGAATGATACACTCAGTGGATTTATTGATTATTCAAGACTGTACAAGGAGATGCAATTGTTTCGCTTTTTTTGTTTGATTTTCATAGTTTATTTTTTTACATGTTTCTATTACCGTATGTGTGTTACCTATTATCATTAGTTTTTTTTGTCATTTGAAAGTCTTTTGTTAAGGTGTGCAGCACATATTTAAGGCAAAATTGTACATGAAATAGTTACATAGTAGTGTGGTATTACTAGCTGGTATTGACAAGTATTGGAAATTCCTATACTCATCAGCACTATCTGGTGCATCAGCTAGTGCCATGTAAAGGGCATCTAGCTGGCATATAACATTTAAAAAAAAATGAACCCCTATCTGTTCATGCAGACAAGCCCATTAAAATATTCCCATCATGCTGGATCTTCCTGTCAGAAGTTGGTAGAAAAGAAAAACATAAAAAAATACAGATTCTGGTGTGTTATTATGTGCTTTTATATGCACATACAGGGTTTAGAGACATATGCACTGAAAAAATTATTTATTCTACCCAATAGAATGAATTTATGTGCATACACAAGCGTTTACATGTAAATAATGCCAGTAAGCTGCTCTACGAATGTAGGTTTGGGACATTTTGTTTTTATACCCCTGAACGCTGCTCTAAAATATGGATCTAAATGCCGCAATGTGCATTGACACATTGGCTAAAATAGAGCTGTGTTCAGAGACATTAAAAACAAGCCTTTAACAAGTGGTTGACAGAACCCGGTGTCTTTATTCAACCTCAAATACTATGTAACTATGTAACTATGTAACAGCAGCATTATTTTCTGCCCATGTGCATGGGGCCTAACAGAAAGGGCCCTCAGTTCAGGGTAGCAGAAAGGAAAAGAATATAATATATGGGATGGGAGCTCCTACAGTGTTTACTAGATCTGTTTTTGACATTCATAATTTAATATATAAAAATTGTGAAGAATAAGTAAATATGAATTTGTAAGCTTACCTGGTCGAATATGATGTTCATGGGGCATCAAAATTTGATCCTCATATACACCACCCACTGCATTATTTCTCAAATAATTTTCCAGCATCTGCTTATGAAAAAAAATACAATTTAACGGTCACTTGCAAGAGCATGCATAGCTGTTTTTATTCAAAAAGACCAACCACATCTTTAATAATATTATTATTTTCAATTCTGTTTTATTAAATTGAGTTATTTCTCTGAGTAGGTAAGCTTTGTTTTTGTTAAGTATGGCACAGCATTGCACAGATATCAGATCGGGAAGACTTTAAGGTTCCATTAACATACAGACACAATCTAACTGCCTTGTGACATTTATGCTTAGTGGAATGCACGTGGAAATTATTGTGCTCAGACTATGAAGAAGGGCAATGTAGGCACAGCGCAATACAGATAGCCCTTGGCACTAGATTATTGGGTCTGGGGACAAGGTTTTTAAAATATCTTCTGTCACAACTCTCTATAACAAGCCTCAGCTGCCAATGTCTGCTGGTGCCTCATAGACAATAGAGCAGGGGTGCCCAAAATTTTTTGTGTTAAGATCTACTTTTCATATGACGAGCGCAATAAGATCTACCAACGGAAAAAAAAACTGGCTCTGACGGTTCATGCTACATTTCCAATCAATTCTTTCTCTCTCCCTCCTACATTTATACATGGATTGTGGGGGGTGCAGGAAGAACAAGAGCAGGAACACAAGATGTTACTCCTTACCATCTCTCCTTGCTCATAATCCTGGCTGTCTCTCCTCACTCCCTCCCCTGGCTGTCTCTCTTCTATCTCTCTCCTGGCTGTCTCTCCTCTGGCTGTCTCTCCCTTGGCTGGCGGGGGAACAAGTGTAGGGGCACAAGATGTCACTCCTTGCTATCTCTCCTCACTGTCTCTCCTGGCTGTCTCTCCTCGCTATCTTCCCTGGCTGTCTCTCCTTTCTCTCCCCTGGCTGTGTCTCCAAGCTCTCTGTCTCCTGGCTGTCTCTCTGAGCTGTCTTTCCTGGCTGTCTCTCCTGGCTTTCTCCCCTGGCTGTCCCTCCTTTCAGAGGCACCGTGAATCTACAGCCGCTTTTTACCTGCTTCCCGATGTTATATCGAATTCTGTTCCCCTGTTAAGATGTGTTCCCCCTGATGGTCAGCTCTTTCTGTAGCCCGCCCCCTCCCTCGTAGCTCCACATTTCCAAGGTTTGTGACACATTTATAGTAAATCCACATGAGCTTTTACCCTGTTGACTTCTATACAGTGAAAGATTTTAAACTATTACTGCACCAATTTATGGTTTTGTGGATAGTTCTACCCAGGAAGCAAGAACGTTTCCAGCAAACACAAATCAGCTAACACACAATACATTCAATTATAGGGCTGAAATTAGGCTATACCAAAAATAACGTTTTCCTGTATCACTGAAATGAATGCAGGATGTTCTTAAAACTGTTCAACAGTTACTATACCTACAGAGCTGAAAATGAAAGCTACAAGGGAGGGCGGGGCTTCGGAAAGAGGCGAGCGGCAGGGGGAACACATCTGAACTGGGGATACAACACCGGTGCTAGTGCAGCTGAATGTGTCGGAAGCTACAGGTTTCCCAGGGGCGGGACGCTTCTCCCTGTCTGCAGCATCCGACACATTCGGCCACACAAGCAGCGCTGGAGGAAGCTAGGGACACCGAGCCTACTTGTGAATATATCAGTGTTAGCTTTGCGAACAATTGGTAAGTCACAATCAACCTTATGGGCACCCCTGCATTAAAGTGTCTCTTGTCCTGTGATGTCTAAGGCAGGCTTTCTCAACCGTGGCATCCTTGGGCGTCATCTGGCTTTCTCAGGAGTACCTCAAATTTTCGCACAGGGTCATGCGGGACAGGTGAAGGGGGGGACTCTAGATGTGAAGGCAGGACTCTAATGTGAAAGGGGGGACTGTGATATGAAAGGGGATGGTCTTTCTATTTTTGAGCGGGGAATGTCCTCTCTAAAAATCCATGGCAGAACCCTATCAAGGATAACCATCTGGTATGGATTCTGGGTGGGGTTATACTTTTAAAGGGTTTAAATTTGAAGAAATGCTGGTCTAAGGGAACATTTAGGAGAAGACAACAAGGTCAGTAATTATCAAGGCTGATTTATATGTTTTTTAACATGTATTGCATTAAAACAAACCATACTGCATTGTGATAGTGTTATTCTATACACTCAATATTGAAACCAAACAATTACTGTCTTCAGATCCAAGCTGTGTTCACAACATTGCACTACAGTATTTATATAGTGCAATGTCATTTTGTGAACATTGCTTTATTGTCACTTTTTACTGATAATTAGCCTAGTGTCTTAGAGGTAATATTACACAATTCAGCTCCAAGCTGTCAACTTGTGGCAACACTACCAACTATTATCTGGACAATTGTGCTTCACTGACATTCAAGCCTTTTATCTTTTCATTGCCTTTAGCATTTAGCAAAATAAATAAATATGTACCATGATCAGTGACATTTACACAGTAGCATATATTATATGGCTTAAGGATACATTTGCCTTATATACCTGACAAAAGGTATGACTGAATTTAAAAGAGAACTATGGGGTACACTTTTTTTGCTATGTTTAGTTTTACATTTTGTAATGTATTCCTGTAATCAAAAATCCACCATAAGCTTGCATATAATATACTGTGGGCAGGGCTAAGCTTCATGCTGAGAAGCGATCCTGACAATATTGTTGGGTTCCTCCACACTCTTTTCTCCTCCCATTAAGTGACAGAACCTTGCAGGAGCTGCAGCGCTGGAAAGCTTTTTAAATAGGGGAAAAACCTACTTTAAGCAGAAGCCTAAAAAGTTCTAAATATCCAAACTTAATACTTACTGACTCATCCAATTCAAACATATGTCGTGCCATGTCTCACCTGTAAAAAAAATGATTAAAAGTTATTAAAAAACATTATCTCATATTATTTAACAAATCAAATACCATGATACATGCATACAATGATCATACAAAATTATATGAGTGTAGGAAAATCTGGTTCCTCCCACTCCCTCTTACCAATTGGAAATCTTTCTTCTTTTTGTTACTTCTTTGTACTTTTCAGCACTTCCTGATTCCTCACCTAGGGCACAGTTACATAAGGACACCCTGAAGCCGCCTGGGATTGCCATGTCACATGCCAGGAGGTAGTGCATTGCAAGACTTCGGGCACAGATGTACTGTCGGTCTCCTTAAGGTATTCTAGTTATCTAAACCCGTGCCGGAGATTCCTGGTCATGTGCACAGATGCTGTGGGTCTCAGCAAGGATCTAGAATCCACACGCCTTTGCCTGGTCACAGATACCTAGCAAAGACCTGCGACACATACAGTATGTGCATGTGCAGGAGATTATAAAATGGTGGCGCAGGAGAGGATGGAAATTATGCCAGGGTGAAGTTATCCTCAGATTAAGCACAATGTCACTTTAATTGACCCCACCAGTTCAGTTTCAGAACACATGCTTGGAAATGCAAAACACGGGCCATCCCAGACATAACTGGACAAACATGTTAACTTTTTGGGGTTGATTTACTAAAGCTAAACAAGCTATTCACTTTGCAAAGGAATTTTGCCGTAGCTCAGTAAATGTGGTGAAAATTGATTTTGCCAAGAATACACCAAAAACGGTATATTTGCTTGAACATGTCTGGATGATGGAAGTCAGCAGAGCTTCACCTCATTCATTAATCTAAGGGGAAATTCCCTTAAGGAAATTCCCTTTTGCCTTTAGTAAATGAAACCCTTTTGTTACCCAAACTTTTCTCAATATTACAGCACCATCAAATCCTTTGCCATGTTTGGCTATAACCTATACTACTGAAAAAAGCTTCAGTCCTACCCACATACGCTGCCAAAATCCAATTCGGATCCTTCTCCAAAATGTTTACTTTAACAGGAGCAAGGTCATGACAACTGTTTTATAGTGTTCCTTGTGGTATCTGCCATTGACCTAAGAGTAAAAATATTCTCGGATAAGTTTACGTTTTGTTCAGTTTACGTTTTGTGAAACATTGAATTTGCTCATTAAGGGATTCCATTTTTAAGCATTTTTTGGAAATACCTGATGTACAAAAAATATGATGGGGGGCATTTATTAATACTGTCAATTCTATCGCACAAAGGGCAATGCTAACCAAGAACATTGAAAGAGACTGGATTGAAACATGTATATATTTTATTTGATGTATGGGTCTACAGGTGGTGCCTTTACACACCTGCAGCTTTTAAAGGAGAACTACGGTATGAGGTGAGTGATTCTCACTCACCTCATAGTTTGAGCCAACGTGTGACAATGAAACTGTCACAAGTCGCTCACTTCTTGATCATGTCCCTGCAGAGAGCCATGACTGTCACTCATGGCTCCCTGCAGGGATTCCCCCTCCCCTGTCCGATCCTCCAGCTCTGACTGGCGGAACAGACGGTGGAAGAGGCGGGTACAGCTGGCTCTGCCTCTAGATAGGCAGAGCCAGCTGTCACTTACCCAGCTGGGTGGATCTCGACAGTAATGTTGGGATCCTTCTGGGCTGCGGCGGTCTCAGTATACCGTGAGCTGCAGCTCGCGATATACTGAGCTTTGGGTCACGGGAGGACGCTAGTTTAGGTCCTCCGGTGACCCTTAGGAGAACAATGGGGAAAAACACTTTCCCCATAGTTCTCCTTTAAATCAAGTGGCAGAGATTTTGTTTGTAAACTTAGATTGTTTGTAAACATTGAAACAGATTTACTACAAACTTACAGCACGAGTCATCAATTCCTTCCTCAGCTGCTCTACAGTAGCACTGAGAAAGAATAAGGACCCGGTCACACCATCTCCAGTTCATTCCACCACGGTTAGCTGCGGGAACACACTGGATCGCATACTGTCTTTACTGTCCTAAAATATAGGTGTGATTGGGGCCGTAATGTGTAAAAACGATTTTGTGTAGCTTTCATAGAATTCTGCAATAGTCGCATACATGTCATCCTAGAATTAACAAACCATTTACTTGTGTTGTTACTTCCTTGTCATAACTACCCTGGGAAGTATTCAAATTAGCTAGTTGTGTATCCGAGATTTCTTGTCGCTCTAGTTGCATATGACTCATGGAAGTTGGCAGCCCTCCCTCATGGTGTTAAAGTTGATGTTTATTCTGCATCTATTATGCTTTTGTATGGTTTCTCACTTTCCTTTTCACCAACATGCAAAAAATTTTTTTTGTATAACACCTTTACATTTTTCATGGCAAGTTATTTCAGCATCATTTAACCTCTAAGCAACGCAGGCAGATTATGGCTGGTGAAGGGGGTCGACAGGGTGCTGTACATTGCTTCCTGAACACATCATAGCACCCCTACCTCTGTGGACTGGCACTTCGGATGAGTTATACAAATATGGGTGGATGTCAGTCTGGAGGAATGGGCGTTTTTAGGCAGGCCGTATTTGCATGCAGGTAGGTAAAACCCAGATGTGATACTGGACCATGATTAAAAGAACTGAAACACAATAAATGAAAGGGGCGGGCAAGGGAGGAAAGTGCTAGGTGATGCTGGATATCTTATAGCGAGAAATTAAGTGGGCTATTTGACTTGCTCTAGCTTGTAAAGCGCACTGTGAGAAGCTCACAAGGGTCACCAAACACATTGCAACCTAAACCTAAAATCTTTGTACAATCAACTTTAGATTTACCAAAACTGTGTAATAAGAGGACCTACCTAATCTATCCAATTCATTTGTATCTAATCAGATAGGCCCTTACACTACATAGTTGTTGGTAGATCTAAAGGAGATTTTACAATCAGATTGTAATGTGTGTGGTGAACTCAATACAGGCCACAAGCAGGGCAGTTCTACAAGCTTTTCATCACAATAAATTGAGCAGAACCTTCCAACATCCTTGGGATATAAAAATATAAACTGTTGGTATCAAAATGCCCTGATCCATTTTATCTTTCTTGTAGTTGAAAGTGATTGAAATCAGTGGTGTTCCTAGCAGAAGTATTCGTGGTCAATTGTTGGCTGCAATAATACCCCCACCCCTTATCAGCCTCGGGGACCAGTAGCAAGCTGTACCAATAATTCCCTCTCCAACATTGGTGACCAGTAGCAAGCTGTACCAATAATTCCCTCTCCAACATTGGTGACCAGTAGCAAGCCATACCAATAATCCCCTCTCCAACATTGGTGACCAGTAGCAAGCTTTACCAATAATTCCCTCCCCAACATTGGTGACCAGTAGCAAGGTGTACCAATAATTCCCTCTCCAACATTGGTGACCAGTAGCAAGCCATACCAATAATCCCCTCTCCAACATTGGTGACCAGTAGCAAGCTTTACCAATAATTCCCTCCCCAACATTGGTGACCAGTAGCAAGGTGTACCAATAATTCCCTCTCCAACATTGGTGACCAGTAGCAAGCCGTACCAATAATCCCCTCTCCAACATTGGTGACCAGTAGCAAGCTGGATCAATAATCCCCTCTCCAGCATTGGTTGTCAGTAGTAGGCTGTACCAATAATCCCCTCTCCAGCATTGATGACCAGTAGCACGCTGTACCAATAATTCCCTCTCCAACATTGGTGACCAGTAGCAAGCTGTACCAATCATCCCCTCTCCAACATTGGTGACCAGTAGCAAGCTGTACCAATAATCTCCTCTCCAGTATTGGTTGTCAGTAGCAGGCTGCACCAATAATCCCCTCTCCATCATTGATGACAAGTAGCAAGCTGTACCAATAATCCCCTCTCCAGTATTGGTGACCAGAAGCAAGCCATACCATTAATCCCCTCTCCAGCATTGATGACCAGTAGCAAGCTGTACCAATAATCCCCTATCTAGCATTGGTGACCAGTAGCAAGCTGTACTAATAATCCCCTCTCCAGCATTGGTTGTCAGTAGTAGGCTGTACCAATAATCCCCTCTCCAGCATTGATGACAAGTAGCAAGCTGTACCAATAATCCCCTCTCCAGTATTGGTGACCAGTAGCAAGCTGTACCAATAATCCCCTCTCCATTCCCCATAATTGGTGACCAGTAGCAAGCTGTACCAATAATCCCCTCTCCAGCATAGGTGAACAGTAGCAAGCCATACCAATAATCCCCTCTCCAACATTGGTGACCAGTAGCAAGCCGTACCAATAATCCCTTCTCTAGCATTGGTGACCAGCAGCAAGCCGTACCAATAATCCCCTCTCCAGCATTGGTGACCATTAGCAAGCTGTACCAATAATCCCCTCTCTAGTATTGGTGACCAGTAGCAAGCCGCACCAATAATCCCCTCTCCAGCATTGGTGACCAGTAGCAAGCCATACCAATAATCCCCTCTCCAACATTGGTGACCAGTAGCAAGCCATACCAATAATCCCCTCTCCAGCATTGGTGACCAGTAGCAGGCTGCAACAATAATCCCCTCTCCAGCATTGGTGAACAGTAGCAAGCCGCACCAATAATCCCCTCTCCAGCATTGGTTGTCAGTAGTAGGCTGTAACAATAACCTCCTCCAGCATTGGTGGTCAGTGGCTGGCTGTAACAATATCCCTCCAACATTGGTGGCCAGCAGCTGGCTGTAAAAATTAATAAGTGAATAAAGACAAAAAATGACTATTCCGGCCATGTGGGCATTCTCTGATTGGTGGTAGTTAATGTGAGCTGCAACCCCCCGGTTAGCTACTGGCTGAACTTGCTAAAAACTGGATAGCCAAAACCTTTTTAACCCCTCACTTCAAATAGTTTGCCTCTTGCCTATTTAAATATGAGATGTGTGCATTCATGTGTGCTGTCATTTGGCATGTACTAGCAGACAGGTGGGCAGAGATAATCTCTTGGTGTCACACCATGGACTATATACTGCCTGCAGAGAAAGTCAATTCATTTTAACTAGTTACAGTTTAAGATC